ACAGAATTATTTCAAGGTCACTAAACCATACCAAGGCAATATGGCAAATAATAAAAAATGAATTAGGGAATTATCAAAAAACAAATCAAAACTTTTATTTAAAAATAGGCTCCATGTTAGTTTCAGATCCACAGGATATAGCTCATCAATTTAATGTTTTTTTTGTAGAAAATTTGGACAAGATGTTAAATCAAAATAAGGGTTGTAAATTTGGTCATGACACCGTTAATAATAACATATTAATATCTAATTCCATGTTCTTTGCTCCATTTACTGAAAAAGAGGTTTTAAATGTAACCAAGAAACTAAAAGTAAAATTTTCAACTGGCTGGGATAAAATACCATAAAGGTTAGTAAAAGAAAGTATTCAGTATGTCAAGAAAACACTAACCTTTATAGTTAACATTTCATTATGTTCTGGAACCTTGAGCCATGCAGTGGCTCCGGTATGACGTCATGGGCTTCCAGCCCCTTGATCGAGGTTCTTAAACTTATCCCCCACCCCATCCCCATGCGGGACTGGGTCACGTGGTATTGCCCTCTCCCCTCCTTTCTATCCCAGGGAGCCTTACTTGGAAGTTAATTCGAGTTCGGAGTTCAGTTCTGGTTATGGATCCATAGGGCCTTGCTCGCGGCGCCGAGCCAGCCGGAGCGACTGTCAAATTCCTGTTCGGCTGGGAGTCCAAATTTGGTTTCGGCAAGTACTGGGCTGGTTCACGGCCGACGAGATCGCCCGCGGTCGCCCGTCGTTGGGTTTGTAGGACGGCGGCGACTCGTACCAGTTTGGTTAAATCTGTTTTTATAATTTATATTGTGTATTTAGTTTAGACTCAGCCTGTGGCCCGGCTATAATGTAGTAGTTATGTTTTCAAGCAACCAAGGCAAATTGTTGCGCCAGTAATATGGGCCATTCTGCCCGAGTTAGATGCCGCTGTGTGCGAGCATGTAAATGTGCAGTTAGTTCAGTTGTTCTGTTTAATTTCTGTTGTGTATATTAAATTCTGTTATTTGTTAATATATTGATTGCCATCATTTGTAACTACATTTACTTCGCTGCTAGCTTGGATCCCTTACTCTAACTTAGGGAGCGTGCGAGCACAGCACAAGAGCCGTATGACGGAGCAACGTTTCCCCCTCCGATTGAGGAAAGGTAGACGGAGCCGAAAGGTGCCAGAGAGAGACGGTACAAGTGGTACATATAGTCCCAGAGCGGACAGACGGCACAAGTGGTAGCAGAGGAAGCGGCTCAAGTGGTAGCAGAGCGAAACGCGGCTCAACCTTTCCAAATTTGATGAAGATTGCAAAAGTTCGGCCTATTCACAAAATAGGTGGGAAACAAGAAATCTCCAATCATAGACAAATTTCAATTTTGCCAGTTTTTTAAAGCAGTCATGAAATATTAATATATAAAAGAGTACTGACTTTAAACACAGCATGATATCCAAGATTCAAAATGTCTTCAGAGAGAAGAAATCTACCAATACAGCAACACAAACCTTCATAGAGGATATCCAGAAAGCGTTAGTTAATAAGCTGTTAGTTATGGGCATATTTTTAGATTTAACTAAGGCCTTTGATGTAATAAATCATAAAATACTGCTTCCAAAATTGGAGCTCTATGAACTTAGAGGGAAAATACACTCATCGATGAAGTCATATCTTACTGGTAGAACTCAATTCGTGGAAGTACAGCATTTAGTTGAAAAGACCACAAATATAAAGCTGTTTGCTTCATTGTGTAAAAAAATAAAATATGGCATACCTCAGGGTTCTGCCTTGGGACCATTTGGTTCTTGTTTATAAACGATTTGCCCCAAGCTGTTCAAGAAGCTAAGGTGGTGTTATTCGACAATGACACAAATACATTACTCATTGAAAAAACTCCCATCATTAAAAGAAAAAAAAGCAAAAGTAATGAAACAATTAGAAAACTGGTTCATAACAAATAATCTTATAATAAATACTGAAAAGACTAAAGTAATACTATTTCAGGGAAAAGGATCTAGTTTAACTCATGGACCCAGTCTGTATCTGAAAAATAAAGAAATAACTTACAAATCAAATTTAAAATTTGTAGGTATTTATATGACGTAACTTAAGATCAGCCACTCATATACAATATCTTTGCCATAAATTAAACAAAGCTCTTTATTTGATTAAATCCATATGAGACCCAGTAAGTTTACCAGTACTAAGAACTGTTTATTTTACTAAATCTGAATCTATACTGAAATCTGGTATTATTCTTTGTGGGGGGGGGAGAAAATAACAGTAATACAATCTTTAAATTACAGAAAAAAAGGTCTAAGGCTCATTAAAGGAGTGAAAAACAGGGTGACCTGTAGAAGTCTGTTTCGTGATATAGCACATATATGAGATCTTATGCTGTTTATCTGACATTCACAAATATAACACTAAAGGAAAAGAGGATTTGTGCGTACAAACATGCAGCACTGTTTGTTGCAGAATAAGTGTAATTAACATTGGAATTAAAATACGTAACAGCTTGCCCCCTGACTTAAAAAGAATAGAAAATTTTAAAGTTTTAAAAATAAATTGAAAAGTTATTTATTACAAAACTGTTTTTATTCTCTGCAGGTGTTTTTAATAACAATGATGGACAGTAGTTTGGTGGCTTGGGTTGGTTCTGGGTTCTGATGTGGTGTGGATGTATATAGATGGAATAAATTTATGTATTGCTTTATATTGGATTGTTGGGGGTAGTCATCCACAGTTGCTAGCTTCATCGGGGGGACGATTATCCTAAGGTGATCGGACTGTTCTTAATCTTGTGTATCATTTTGTACATTTTTAAGGGTTATTATATTTCAGCATCCTGTTGTATTGAGACATCCTATTTTACTAACGTATTCATCAATAATACAACTTTAAAAAGACGTTAATAATATGTTGTTCACAAAAAATATATTTTAATACTATACTGGTACACTACAATGGGGACACTGACATAGGGAAAACATGACCACAAACCGATAACAGCCACAAAATACCTGGATAAAAATGAAATTTGCCAACTAGCATGAAGTAAATAACGACATGCACGAGAGAAGCACGGGAAACAAATACAGTGCAGCGGTCTCACTTGAGGATAGAATTCACCTGATGATGGCCCAATGAGGCTGAAACATCTTGTGAAGATAAATTGCATAAAATCAAGACAATTTGAGGAGTGTGGACATTCACTTTTAATGTGTAAATTTATATGCTAACATAATAGCCTAGGGGCATATTATTGATTTTAACTGTCATAGAGTATACTGGGAGACCACAATGGGGACACTAACATAGCAAAACACGATGACCAACTGATAACAGCCGCAAAATAGCTGGATAAAAATGAAATTCAACAACTACCATGGAGTAAATAACAATGTGCATGAGAGAAGCACGGGTAACAAATACAGTGCAGTGGTCTCACTCGAAGATGGAATTACCCGATGATGGCCCAATGAGGCCGAAACATGTTGTGAAGATAAATTACCTAAAACCAAGACAACTTGAGGAGTGTAGACATTCACTTTAAATGTATAAATTTATATGCTAACATAATAGCCTACGGGCATATTATTGATTTTAACTTTCATAGTATTAAAATGCATTTTTAGTGAACAACATATTCATAATGTCTTTTTGAAGTTGTATTATTGATGGATACATTAGTAAAATAAGATAATTTTTAAGAGTTGTTGAGTTATAGTGTTTTAGATGGTTTAAACTGACTTCTCCAATTGTACTTGTGTAACTAATTTGGTTGTAAATAAATTATGAATTTTTCAGTCTTTACATTTTTAGACAGTACAGAGGAAGACAAGACATTCTAAACTGTAGGGTAGCAGTTCCCAGAAATTAATCTTCTTATTTCTTCATGACTGCCAGTTTTGATTTGTTAATACCATTACCAAATATTTGAACTTGGCCAACTTTTTAAGTACTTAGTAGCTACATTTTACATCATGGTTTTCCTCTCTACCTTTATAACACCTGATTAGGAAAGAATTATTAAACCTTCACTTTATGGGTCAGAAATAAATGATTATATGCAAAGATAGCTATTGTTATATTTCCATCCATCCACATTTCAAATCTCAAAGCACACATTATGTCAACAACAGACAACAGTTGTTACTGTTAACATTATGTGACCTAAATGGCTGGTCAAGCACTGCTGCAAAAATATATATATCTACTACACATGAATTCATTCATTTGTTTTTCCCATACAAATGTTTTAATTCTCAGAAACACTCAGAGGTAGTCAGCTTATTTTTGGATGAAATACATAGTTTTATTACTGACATATTCACAAAAAACATCACAGGATGTATGTGCATATTACCATTAGAGCCTTGTCACATTATGCTTGAATTTATTAATTAATGTAATTCTCATTTACTCCATCAGATGTCGGTAGAATGCAGTGGAATTTTTAAAAGCCTAAAAAAAGAGCAGAGCTATCAATCTTCATCTACAAGCAACCAGAAGTTTCTCAATTCAAGACCAATATCATGCAGCATTGGTGCGAGCTTATAAGATGGCTGCTTCAATAAATTACCATTGTTTAGTTGCATGAAATTCAGACTTTATACAAAAAATATGCTGAAAATAAATATGGTAATGAATAAATGATACATATTGGTGACCTACCTTTATGAGATTTAAAGAAAACCATTTCCTATATTTAAATCTGTCATGTTGGTTGTTCATTCTTCTCTTGGTCGTTGTTGTGTACAGTCCTGCCTTCTGAATAAGGATATCATCATCATCATCATTTATTATCATTCAACAATCCATACATACATGTATTACAACCATTTGGATAAGGAAATTGTCAGTTTTACATCTAACTCTCATGCATATCTTTACAGTATACACTGTACCACCCTAATATAGGGGGTTTGTTGTCTGAATAATATTATCTAGATCTAGTTACCATTAATTTCATTGTCTTTACACAAATACAACAGATTAATCAGCTATATATTACATTTAAACACTTGAAAAATCAAAAAACATAAATTCATCTACAGAATAAAAGGAATGCAAAATTGATTCTTTACCTAGCCACATACCGACACTTATCAACAGTGAAGTTTGTTTCGACAAGAAGGATGGCTTTAGGCAGTGTGAGAAAGATAAACTGAGTTACATACAATCTGTAGTGCGGGAATCTTCACAGAAGCTTCTAGTTAATAAAAAGGAATTCTCTAATTCTCGCAAACATAAAGTATTATTGGTAGGCGACAGCCACTTACGTGGTTATGCAGCTCATATGAAAGCTTTTTTGAATGATCAGTTTGAAGTGTCTGGGTATGTTAAGCCAGGAGCTTCATCAAAAATGGTGATGGAGTCGGCAAAAAGTGACATTGAAAAACTCACAATGGACGATTTTTTAATTTTGTGTTGTGGGTCGAATGATGTAAGATACCTTAAAAAGGTATTTTATAATGTGACTAGCTTTGTAAAAAGGGTTAATCAAACTAATGTAATCTTAATGTGCATCCCTTATAGGTATGATCTTAGGAATTCTCATATTAATAGTGAAATTCAAGCCTTTAATAGAAAGTTATGCAAGCTAGCTAAGATCTTTTCTCATGTCAATGTAATAGAGATGCATAACAATAGACAACTATTTACTGCACATGGATTGCATCTGAACAGCTTGGGTAAAGAGTTGCTTTCTAGTTATCTACTTCTTCATATTTATTCAGCGTTGAAAGAAGATATGGGCTCAGTAATAACTCTTGCTTGGCGAGATAGCAATTTTCAGGTTACCTCTTCTCCTGTTGCTAGTTATTCCACTCCCCTAACTATTTCAGATAATCAGAATCTAACAACTAATGAAACTATTTTGGACAGGTTAGCCAGTACTCCCCGTTTAGATAAAGAAAGTTTAACTAGTTGTACTGTAAATGGCAACATAAAAGTAGGTAATCCTAGCATATTGAAGACTAGAACTTCTAGTAGAATCAAAAAAGCCCCTGTGACAAAAAAAGATTTTTTATGGTAAAGTCAACCTCTAGATCACAGACAGGTAAATCCATTCCTTCGTTGAATAAAGATGTAAGTGCTAATCAATCAGCTGTGAGAAACACTGTCAAATTGAATAATGCTAAACCACCTTATGATACTGTTCATAAGAACCATATTCATCCTTCTAACAAATTATTACAGGATCATTATAATAAAAATAAACTAACAATTCTTCATCAAAATATACGAGGAATTATTAATAAAGTTGATGAATTCTTAAATTCATTATCTCTTAATGCACCTCAAATTATCTGCTTATCGGAACACCACTTGAAAACTGATGAAATAAGTGAAGTAAATTTTGATCACTATACTGTCGGTACTTCCTATTGTAGACAAACATACAGTCATGGAGGTGTGTGTGTTCTTGTTCATAAGAATATCCAATTTAATACTATTAACCCAGACCAATTTAACAAAGAGAAGGATCTTGAAATTTGTGCTTTGAAGTTAAACGTAGCTTCCAACAACTTCACTATTATTTGTATTTATAGATCTCCAACCGGCAACTTCTCATACTTTTTAAATCAGTTGGAATTAATTCTGAACAAAGTACACAAAACATCAAGTGAATTAATTTTATGTGGTGATCTCAATATAAACTATCTTAATGACAGTTCTAGGAAAGATCTCTTAGATTCTCTTTTAGCCTCTTTTAATCTCTTCAGTACGATTAACTTTCCTACCAGAATCTCTAATAACTCTTGCACCTTAATAGATAATATCTATATCAATACTCATCGTCATGAATATTCCGTGCACCCTGTTATTAATGGTCTATCAGACCATGATGCTCAGGCTATTACCTTAAATAATATCTCCATTCCTGTCCCTAAACATGTATCCACCTATACGAGAAACATTAACAACTACTCGATAAGTCAGTTTACATGTCTGTTAAGTTATGAAAATTGGGAAGATGTTTTTCTTGAAACCAATGTCAATGTAATTTTTAATAATTTTCTCAACACATTTCTAAGAATCTTCTATTCATGTTTTCCTGTAAAAAAATCCCAGTACTCTTATAAACAAAAACCATGGCTAACTACTGGTATTAGAATTTCATGTGCAAATAAAAGGAAACTTTATCTAACTTACAGAAATAATAATGATCCAAATTTCAAGGAATATTACAAGAAATATTGTCGAACCTTGGCTAGGGTCATTATGGCAGCAAAAAAATTTTATTATAATAAACTTCTATTAAAATCTAATAATAAGACCAAAACCACTTGGAACATACTTAAAACCATTACTCATAATAGAAGTACTAGTAATAATATATCCTCAATGACAATAAAGGATAAATTATCATGTAATCCATTAGCCATAGCAAATGCATTTAATACTTACTTTTCATCTGTAGCTGAAAATTTACTTACCAAAAATGTCTCTAGAAAAACCATTATTAATAATAAAGATTTCTTATCTTATTTACATCAGAATTTCATACAGTCGTTTTCAACGATGAAACTCAGAAACACTACCACTTATGAAATTGAAAAAATAATACACTCTTTGAAATCTAAGAATTCTCATGGGTATGATGAGATATCATCAAGAATTCTGAAAGTTAGTACTCCCTATGTTTTATCGCCCTTAACATACATATTTAATATGATCCTACAAACAGGTATATTTCCGGATAGATTAAAATTCTCAGAAGTTAAGCCGTTATATAAGAAAGGAGATAAAACTGAATTCTCT